AAAATTCACGCAGGATGCAGGTGGCCCCGGCACCAAGGCCAACACCCTGCACAGGCGTCTACTTTGCGACCATGTCTCCGGGCAGCGCCAGGCTCCCTCTCCCACACTGAAGACGAGAAGCAAACGTGCCTTAGGGACTGGGCATCTAAGGAGATTCGCTGCCTTCCTCTGGCCTGCTCATCTGAGCTCCGTCAGAGAAAGTGAGTGTCTCCACTTCCCTGATCCATTGTCAGCCCCTGGGGCGGCACACAGTTGGAACGGAGAGGGGAGAGAGAGGGTTTCTTCATGCAACCTGTGGCAGAGGATGCCAGCTGCTCACTCTAATGCCACAGGGACATGGCTACACTCCGCTTCTCAGCCTGCCTTGCAGCCCAGGAGACCAGCCCACGAGACCGGGTCCTTGCCACGAAGGGAAGCGACAGGCCCATTAACCACATGCCTGTCTCCCAGTCCGGCTGGCTGCAGCGGGGCTGGATACCTCTGGTGAGGCCAGGGCACCACACAAAGAAGAGGCCGGAGCTCCACCAGCCTGAAGACCGCGCGGCAGACGGTCACCAGCTTCCAAAAAGCAGGTTTCTGTTTGTGGCAAACCACTCTGCATTTTTGCATGCACTTGTTAAGGCAGCTGGCCTACCTCTGCTAATACGCTTACATGAGTGTTGCTCCCCATTTTGAAACTAGGGAGGATGACTGTATTTCAGCTCTGATAACAGTGACGGCAATTAGTACTTCTTGAGCATTTGTCATCCTAGGAACTTCGTATCGATTACCACTTACTCGTCACAGCAAGTGCATGCGCTGGAGGCTTTTGGCCCCATTTTACAGTCGGGACACAGACAGGTTAAATAACATGCCCAAGGTCATGTGGCCAGGAATCACAGGAGCTGAGATTCGAGCCCAGGCAGGTGGGTTCGAGAGCCTGCACTTCCCGTCGCTGCCGGGGAAAAACCAGGACATCCACAAAATGGGACTTTCTCCCAGCCATACCAGCTCGTTCTAAATTGCTCCGAGACCCTAAAGGTTACTGCCGTCCCCTTTTCCAGGAGTTCCCAGGAACCGTGACCTAGGAGCCCCAGCTCAGAACCAGGGCCTTGCTGTCAGCCCCCAGACCTGCCTTACTCCCCCGTCCACGCGTCTGCCTGGATTTCGGCATACTTTCCCCCCTCTCCTGGATGCGTGGCTCTCCTCCCTCCGAGTCTTCCCTGACTCAGACCACCAGTCACCTGCCTCCTCTAGACACCTGCCTCTCCAGATGCTGCTGAGATGACAGGGTCCTCACGTCACCTCCCGAGAGGACACCCACACGGTGGGTGTCTGTTTGCCTGTGCAGGCCGCTCTGGGTCTGGCCTGCCCCCTTGCTGCCTCACTCCAAACTCCCATCCGACTTCACTCAGCCACTCATTCATATTTTTACTGGGCGATGACTGGGATGGGGCCCGGGGCTCGGAGCACTGAGCCCTCACCCCATTCCTCCTGGACCTCAGCACGCCACCTCCCTCCGTATCAAAACCTCTGAAGCCATTTCTCTTCTGGAATCCCAGCCTCTCCTCTTCAGGACTCTCAGTGCTTTCTCTAACTCCAGATTTGCCCTCTGATCTCTGAGTGTGGCCCGGTATTCTCAGAGACCTGTGACGGCACCAGCCGCCCTCGTCAAAGCCAGGGCACCACGAGCTCAGGAGCATCACTCCACTGCCCACAGCGGGAGGTAGGTGCCTGTCACTACAAGTTAGTCTTAGGAGGAGAGAAGGTGTCGCTATGGCACAGAGATGTGTTTCCTCCCTCTAAACGTGTAACAGGAAATCAGGCAGTTCACCTTGGTAAGCCGTTTGCATACTGCTCATGCATGAGCCAGATGGTGTCTGTTTGTCTTAAGAAATTAAAAATGAAAAAGGAAGAGCATAAGGAGGAGTTTATCTCCACCTCTCCCATGCCCCCCACCTTGCACACTCTGGAATCCGCATTGGCAGGGGAGTACAGGCGCGAACACACACGACTACTGTCTGCACGGAGCTACACGAGGCACCAGAGACCAGCCAGCCCCCAGGCCCAGCAGGCGTCAGGGCTCAGCACCCTGCGGAGGCAGAGGGGCAGGCCTGTGCAGGGTCAGCTGGCAGAGAATCCTCCCGTGTTCCGGCTGCCCAATCAATCACTGCTTTCCCCTGGAGCTGCAGCTGGTGAAGGGAGCACAAAAATCTTCCTTAAATCACCGGACTTAGCTCTAAGATTCACGAGCAGGACCACGCAAACACTGACCTGAACAGGCCAGCACTGACAGCCACATTTCTGTCTAGGCTGAAACCTTGGGGAGGGAATTTTCCAGAGGTGGTGACCCTACAGGCCCCACTGCGTGGTCCCCGTTTATTTCCCAGCGGTCAGGAGAGTCCTCTCCGACTCAAGAACTGCCTCTGGAGGGATTACCCCTGGGGTTCTCCTGCCCTGGGCATGACGGGGACTAAGGAAGGCAACCCGTAATTTATCCAGGAAGTAGTGTGTTCCAGGCTCTTAATGGGAATTAACCTGCTTGCCATCAAAATAACTGTTGAGAGGCTGTGCATGTCCTCACTTTTAAAATGGGAAAATGAAGTGGGGGTTCGGGAAAGGGCACTAAGGTCCCACGGCTGCTAACGACGGTGCTAGGGTGTAAACAGGTAAAATCAGGGTGAATACAGAGTTCCCTCGTCACCCTGATGCCTTCCAATCCAGGTAATCAGACGTCTAAGCTCACTGACCAATGTGACCGCTGGCGAACTGTGCTGCCTCCCGTGGCACTGACAGTGAGCGTGGGGGCCGTGCCGGCACCAGCACCCGGTGAGCGACTGACCGTGACGGCTCTCTGCAGATACGCACTTTGGTGTCAACCCACCATCAGTGGGGTGTGAGATTTCCGGGGTGCACTGTGTCCCCACTGCAATAGTGACCCGTTTTTATTTCATGCCTCCTTGGGACCAAAGACACATCTTTAAGCGACTGGCCTCGCTTACACATGTCTCGGAAGGCACGGGAAAGGAGCGGTGGACAGCCCCCTCGCTCTCCCTTCCTCAACCCCCAGACTGCCCCAGGGCCTGCGGAATGAGACCAGTTCGCTCCCTGCAGCTGTCCCGGAGTAATGGGTGACAGTGCACAATTGCTAAAGCAAGGGCACAGTGGTGTCATTTGAAGATGTGATTTTTTTTCCTCTCTGAAATAGGAATCAAGAAGTATTAATTGCACTCTCACTGAGGCAACTCTGAAAGCTGAGTTTGCACACGTTCTTGTTGGCCATTGTTTCCCAAGGCCCCGGTGAGGCCAGCAGGGACCAGACTGGCATAATCAAACATGTTCCTCACTCAGGAAAACAAGGACCCATTTCCTGCTTTTTCAGTACCAACACCAATCTGTGCTCGGCCAGACAGGCCAGCAAACCCCATTACACAGAGTGCAAAGGCAATTAAATGGGGCCAGCTCCAGCCAGACTCAAGAAATCTATGGCCCATGGGCCCTCAGGAAGCATAGCAATGCCTCTCTTTAAAGTGACTGAAAAAAAGTGGTCTAGATGCTGAAGAAAGGCTGTGCTGTACCACTCCCCGGCAGGTCCGCCCTGGCCCTCAGTCTGTGGTGACTGCTGGTTCGTGCTCCTTTTCCTGTCCCGGGGGGGGGGGGGCGCTGGACTGGGCAGGTGCGGCAGACATACAACCTCCCCTCTGTTTGGTCCACTCTGCTCCACATCCTCTCGTGAGGCTACGCCGTCTGCCATCCTTTGTACCATGAACAAATGACTCTGTAGCCACAGGGGGCATTTCTCAACCATTCCATTTTTCTTTGGGCCCTGGCTACGATGAAGTGTCTTGAGCAACCAGTTCTAACGTCCTGTTTGCACAGAGCCATCGGGAGGAACGTTCAGACAGGACTGTTCTACGGCTGCCGGCCCCCAACTCCCAGCCTCCTGGTGTCCCGTGCTCCGGCCGGAAGGACAACTGCGGGCTCTCTGCCTCACGATACGCTCATCTGTGTGAGACACGTGGCTGCCGTGCCTCCGGAACAGCGCCCCACCCTCTCCTCATCCCGCATATTCCAAGCCCTCGTCCATTCAATGTCCCCGAAGTAAATTTTCTGTACTTTTGAGGCATCAGCCTTCCGATTGGTTTGCAGAAGTCACTCCATCCCCGTGTCTCCTGCTGTGCCGGTTCCCCCCACACGCCTTCGTGAGTCAGATCGCACTCATGCCCACACGCTTTCCCTGGCCACAGCAACACTGTCGGAACCACACAACGATCCACAGGGAAGTAAATCCCAAGGACTAAGGGGCAGGAATTCTGGGAGCAAACTAAGACGCCCGTTCCTGTGAACCAACAGCCACATGACATGAGACAGAGCGCGGTTCTTCTCGCCGTCGGGGGGGATTTTCCCAGCCTGCACCTCTCTCCACAGAGGCCACGACGACCTGCGTTCTTCCCCCGTCTCCCCTGAGCCATCTGGGTGACTATGCCCAGCAACACCTGAATGATTTCTGCTACTTGACTCTGGGTTCTAGCTTCTCACCAAAGTCACTTTCAAAAACAAGCCTAAATGGTCAGCAGATAATTTCAGAGAATCCCGTGTGTGCTGGGTGAGGCTGGATCAGGGACAGAGCTGGAAGGTGCTAAAATGCAGCACCAAGTTGGGTTGGTCTGTATGTGCGGTTGGGGTGGACATGTATTTCACTTCATGAAGGAGGAGTATTTGTTACTGATGCAAGTGAGAACACAAGGCACATGCCAATGCGATGTAAGGGTACAGCTGAGTTACGTACCCAGAGGGAGGAAGCAGCAAGCTAGAGAGAGAATAACGAACAAGACGCCGAGGTGTAGGAGTGGCCAAAGGACAGTCGTCGCATTTCTGGATGGGCACAGCTGTGTGTGTGTGTGTGTGTGTGTGTGTGTGTGTGTGTGTTCTGGAGCGACAGGGTTAATGAACAATGACAAGACATGTGAGCAAGGTGCGAGCTCTGCCATGGGGTCCTGCAGCCAGAAAAGCCGCCTCACCCTGTAGTAATCCGTGCTGTAGACGTCCCTGGACATGCCGAAGTCTCCGATCTTCACCAGCAGGTTGGCTCCGACCAGGCAGTTCCTGGTGGCCAGGTCCCGGTGCACGAAGTGCTGGGAGGCCAGGTAGACCATGCCCGAGGCGATCTGACTGGCGATGTGCAGCATCTGGGAGAGCCCCAGCTCGCCCTTCGCCTGGCGTGGCTGCCCGTCCACGAGGATCATCGCGTCTGGCCCATGGGCCCTGTGGGAAGGAGCGGAGGGAGAGAGGGGCGGAGAGGATTCAGGAGGCCAAGGGGAAAGGTCGCGGTTCCTGGTGGCCGCCCCCAGACCCACGACAGAGATGAGAGCTGACAGGCTCTCGCGCAGGGACTTTCCATCTTGTTCATCTCACAGCACGTAAACCGATCACTAAAATTCTGTGGCACGTGAGAAAATATATTTTTCCCCAATCTGACAAAAAGTAGGTATAATTGTGACTCATTCACATCAGACAGCTCTTGCTGTGGTCCATTTTCTGTTTGCTGATCTAAGGAGACTGGCACAGGCCACGGCACTGATGAAAAGCGAACTACAATCACCGGGGTATCGGCTCCCACTGACTGAGACCTGGCTATGTGGAAACTGATCCAGAAATGACAGGACGGGGTCGTTTCACAGGCATAACGGTGGACCGGTGAAACAGTTCTCACCGGCCCTGTTCTCCAGGGAGAGAACCCAGGCTTAATAACTTGCTCTGGGTTGTATCACTAAGATGGGGCAAATTCGGGGTGTGAACTCAGGCCTATCTTTTGGATAAGGACTGAGTGCTCTAGGAAAGGACTAAATCTCACTGTGAAACACAGTTCAGGAGGTTTAGACTCTCCCGCAGGCACTTTCAGTTCCTTTAGGGCCATGTTTTGGAAACCCGCCTCACAGGGTGAGTTCGTGACCGGCTCCCCACCCTATCCAGCCATTCTCAAAAACCACAGAATCCACTGAATGCCCCGCTTCAAGCAGGTGCTTGTCGGGTTTTGGTGAATGTGCCAGAAGCTTCCACAACCTGCGTTTGAACTCTGGAAATCTCATTCTCTGCCATGGAATTCAAAAGAATTCAAAAGGCAGCTAAGTGTCCAGGGCCTGAGTGTTCGCCCTGCTTCCAGGGCCCTGAATTCTGCAGGTCCTCTCACGCACGGCTGCCCCTCTGTCAGGCTGTCAGGCATGCTCGGAGGTGACGGCTGTGGGGACCAGGGGTGCTAACTCCAACTCTGCTCTCACCGAGATGCTGTCCCCTCAGGGAACGCCTGAGTGGGGCTCCAGTCCCTCACCAGTCCCATCAGAAGCCTCTCAATACCCAGACAGTCTGTCTCCAAGATTGGAAAGCCCTTCCTACAACCAATCAATCTTTCCAGAAAAGCACTATCCAACAGAGCTTTCATCGATGGAAATGTTTTATACTGCACTGCCCAATACGGTAGCCACTTGTGGCTAGTTGCATTCAAAATGTGGCTAGTGAGACCAAGGAAGTGAATTTTTTAATTTTTTTAAGGAACGTAAATTTGAATTCAAATGGCCATGTGGCTACTATACTAGACAGCACAGTTCTACATTTATGGAAGGGAAATCTGCCCCTTTTCCAACTAGTTCTGTCTCCAGATGAGTTTGTAAACTTCCTCTTCCTCATCAAAATGTCTCTGGCGAGAAGCTTCCCAAGGGCAGGGGCAGGAATAAGGATCAGCCTGACCCCGAAGCACAGAGCAACTCAAGGCACCGAGTGGGGAAAGCTGTTCACTTTCACCGGGGAAAAGGATGGCCCTGGCCCTTGGACGTGGAGATCACGGGCTGGCAGGCCTGCTCCTCTTCTCGGTCCACCTTGAACCAGGCATCCTCAACTTTTCCTCACTGGGAGTCAGGGTGGAAGGCCCGAATCCCGCTGCTGGGCAGATGATGCAAAAAAAATGAAAGGCTGCTTCTCAAGCCTAACCCTGGACCTCAGTGTGCAAAGAAGCAAATGTCACTCCTGGCTCCAGAGAGAACCCCCTGGGTTGGGTGGGTCTGGGTGGGGGCACAGGGGCGGGGACGGCGGCCGCTGCTTACCTGAGGAACTTGTTCAGGTCCCCGTGCTTCATGTATTCGAAGACCATGATGAGGGGGTCCCCATCGCCACACACGCCGTAGAACTTGACAATGTGCTCGTGCTGCAGGTTGGTGAGCAGCTCCGCCTCCCTCTGGAAATCCTTCCGGGCAGCCAGGGTGGGGTCCTTCAAGGCCTGAGGACAAGATGGGACAACGGTTTTTAGCCACCACAGAGCAGGCTCCCCTCCAGGGAAGAAACCTGGCGCCTCTTGGTGACCGGGTTCCCTGCTGCAGCCCTGAACTCCATGTGCTGGGGCCTGGGTGTCGGACGACTGCCAGTGATTTATTTATTTTCATGAAGAACTGGGGCCAGGGGAAGGAACCCAGCATGGGTGGGATGGGAGAATACAAAGATTTATGAGAATGCTGGATTTATGAGAGGGAAAAGTAGATCAAATTTGGGGCCAGCCAAACGGCCTCTCTCCATCTCTGTAAATCATTCTCTCGCACGGTGCTGGATGCCAAAAGCAGCCACCGGATACCTCTGTTTCCAGGTCTCCTGCGGTGCCCGCCAGCGTCCCCAGGCTGGCCCCTTCCACCACGAGGCACCCAGCAAACAGGCCTGCAGTCTCCCACACCCAGTCCCGCCTGCACTCCTGGGTCAGGCCCGAAGCTCTGATACAACTGGCAAAAAGTGGTGGGCAGCCAACGATGGGCTGCCAGCAGCCCCACCCCCAGCGACTGACACACCCGGGACAGAAGTGACTGGGAGAAGGGTGAGGAGGACCAGCAGCCCTGACACGCCCTCACCGCTCTCCGTGGGGTAGTCTTCTGAGGGAAACTTCACAGTAAATCGCCAGTTGGCAGCACAGAAGATCCGGGGAGGTGGGTCATTCCGAGGGGTCTCTGACGCCCTTCAAACAGGGTCCACAGAACAAACAGGGCAGCTGCAATCTGCCCCCTCTGTCTGCTTCCCCTCCCCCCAAGTCTGAGGACTGTGCCCTTCCTGGTGGTCTCCCCTCTGTGCAGCAGCTCCCCGTTTGCCCTGCTCCCTAGGTCTTGAGGGGCTGCTTGGTCGGAGGGGAGAGAAGCTGCCCAGATGGCGGGGACTCTCGAACTTCTCGGCAGCTTGCCCTGCCTCGGAGTCACTTAGCAGCTTCATCTCCTCCAGCCTCAGGAGTCTGCTGCCTTTGTTTCTCTTCTCTTTTCTTTTTTCTTTAAGCCGGGGGGAGATATTTCAACCAGAAGAACTCTCAGCCACAGCACATCCACTTGACCAGCTAGGTCAACTGCCAACCACCTCTGAGGACACACAGACAGGTGCCCAACAGACCCCAAACTCTGGGGAGAGCCCTCAGCCCCAGGAGGAGCTCACTGAGCATCAGCGTGATGCCCCCACGTTCACTGGTGACAGTTCCATCTGTTACTGTCATCACTGACTGTAATGAGATGTCATGAAAACCAATGAACTATGATTACAAAGAGCGAGCTGTTATTATGGAGCCCAGAATGAATACTTTGGGAAGAAAGGCTAGTGGTTAAAAAGTATTGAGAATGGGAGAAAACCTATTTTTTAAAGTGAGAAAACATAACATTCCACACTCAGACTGTTTCACAAGTGTTTTAAGTCCCTGCTCAAACTTAACGTAACTGCAACCGGAAATCACGGACACCCAATCCAAAGACAGAACAACTCTCTGAGCCAAAAGAAACCTGAAAGCCGAGGTTCAGACACACCAGAAGAAATACAATGCTAAATCTGAATGATTACAACAGTCAATAACCAGAACATGAAATTTCCCGCAGTTGGAGTTAATTTTTTAAAGAATAGGCTGATAAAGATGTTCGAAATAAGTAAATGCACAGAGACTGATGAAATAATTATTTAAAAACCCAGAAAGGTATTCAGCAAAAACAGGGACAAATAAAATGAAAATGACAATACAATTAAGACCCAATCAGTTGTCTTGGAAATAAATTACAGTCACTGAAGTAAAAACAAGAAGTTCCATAGACGGGCAGACCCTGTGCCAGATAAAAACCGCAGGAAGGGTTCGTGAGTCGGAAGAACAGGGATGGCAGCTCCAGGGACGAGGGTCCCCTCCCTGGTCAGTGAGGCGGGGGGCTGCCTGGGTGAGAACCGGATTCCACTGCCGGGCCCCTGGGGGCCGTGGGCGAACTGCCGGCCTGGGACTCAGAGACCTCCTCTGTGCTGTGGGGACAGGGACAGTGCCTCGCTCTTAGGCTTGTTGTGAGAACACAGCACTGGCCCACACGCATCCGATGTCACAGGTTCTGGGCCGCTCTGAGCACCCAATTAAGTGCTCTCTGTTAGAGTCAGTTGTCATCACTACCTCCATCATCATCGCTCTTCCTCTTCCAATGTCTCTTCTGGGTTCTAACGATTCTTTGGCTCTGAGACACAAGCTACTCACACCTGTGTGTGTCCTTCACTCCTCTGTCCCCAGGGCCTCATACAGCACCTAGCACATAGTAGGTGCTCAAGAAATAAGGAATGAATAGGTTGAGCACATTTTTAAGAATATGATAAATCTATAGAAGAATCTCTCATAGCACACCAATTTAACACAATGCTAACACCAGTGTATCCTCAATGCACGTAAAAATAAAATACTGCCAAGCCCCCTGAAATGCCCCCACTGCACGCCCTGCCCCTCCTCCAGGACACCCCCCCACCCTAAAGGTCAGCACCATCCTGACTGACAGAATTCACGTTCTTGCTTTTTAAAAATCGTTCGCACTACCTAAGTATGAATCCCTACATACTAGCATTTAGTTTTAATTTTTTTAAATAATGGAATCATATATATAGCATTACATGTATTTTTGCATCTGTCTTTTTTCACTCAGCATCATGTTTTTGTGATTTTCCCATGCTGTTGCGCGCGGCTGCAGTCCGTCCACTCTCCTTGGTATTTCTCACTGCGTGAACACATCACACTTACCATAGACACTTTCCAGATTTCGGTCGACATTAATGATGCTTTATGAAGATTCTTAGACAAATCTCTTGACAGGCAGATGATGGCTGGCTGACTGACTGGAGAGACGGACGGACAGACAGACAGACAGACACCTTTGGGTACAGGCCTAGAAGTAGAAGCCCTGGGTTCTAGAATGCCAGTGTTCTCGAATACCAAGCTGTTTTTCAAAAATGATTCCTCCGCTTTACTTTCCCCCCAGCAGAGTGTAAGCGGTAGTCACTCCATGTCCTCGGTATTGTCATTGCCATTGAGCTGTTCTGCCTGGTGTCCAGTGGTATCTCATTCCAGTTCGGTTGCCATTTTTCTGATAGTTAATTAGGTTGGAAACCTTTCCCATCTTCTCATCAGCTATTTGGCTATCAGAGGAGGCTCTGCTGAGACCTTTCAAGCAAGCACATTGCTTGTCAAGTGACTATTTACAAGTGGCATCGCCTGTGACCAGTCCCATGAGCCACGCAACCGGATGTCACTCTCACGGGGCACACGCTGGTTCGCGCTCTGCCTGGCCCCACCCTCCGGTTCTTCAAGGGCCTCCTTTCGTCTTCCCAACGGAACACAAGCATCTTCGGAACAGAGGCTGCTCCTTCAGCTCCGTGTTCCCACCATAGCAACCTCGGAGCAAAAAACTCCTGCCCATTGACTTAAAAGCTCAATGTGGGGAAAACCTAATTTGGGGGCCCACTCTGGTGTGCCTCCTGATAGCCCACAGTTACCCTGCCCTGACATGCAAGCAAACTCGAGAGGAAGGAACCCGTGAGAGGGGTAAATCCCAAAGGGGATGCGGAGGCAGGAGCCCCACTTCCCGTCTGTTCTGGGGGGAGAGGAGTGCCTCTTCCGGGGGCTGCTGACGGGCGGGTCACCGGGCAGCCAAGGGCGCGGAATCCCAGAGTGCCCATCTCCTCGAGGTTCCCAGGACCCGGGGAGAAGGAAACCCTTATAAAAGGATGGAAACAGAAACACATTTTCTGCATTACCCAGTCTGGGCGCTGGCCCTCAACCCTGGACCACTCAGCAGGAGACATTTCCCAGGGTTTCAGACCATCATCTCATTTCCTGCTCCAAGCACAAAAATGTACAGTTCGTTCACCAGTTCCCAGATGGGCACTGGAACGCCCGGTGGGTCAATGTCACCCTGCAAATCAGGATTCAGGGCCATGCGGATCCTAAGTCCAGGGACAGAAGCAGACACTTTCCCACGCCCCCTGATGCTCGTTGGCCCGGCCACCCCGGGCCGTGGATACCCGCAGAGCAGGCTTACTCTCAGGACGTCCAGCAATAACCACCATTACCCTTTCGCGGGGCAATATTCCAGTTCCTTGTTTATGTCTAGAGCAGAGGCTGGCAGACAATGCCTATTTTTGTAAAATAAAATAAAATAAAAATTATTGGAAAGCAGCCATCGCCATTGGTTTACGTGGGCTGCCCTCCCACTACAGGGGCGGAGATGAGTAGGTATTTACTGTATGGCTTTTTAGAGAGAAAGTTCAGCAACCTCGATTCTTGCAGTCATGTGCCATGTCAAAGCACACTGAACAATGCCAACACCAAGTACAAGTATGAAAACACACAGCAATGACTCTTTATTGAGCCTTCACAGTGTCCCAAGCAGTGTACTAGGGATGTGACATATGTCATCTAATCACTGGGATTTTGAGGAGAAGATACTCTATTTCCTCCCTATTATATAGACAAGGAAACTGAGGTCCAAAGCGGTTGAAAGTCTCGCAGAAGGCCATACGGCTGGGTCTCTCTCTGGTTCTCACGCTGTGCCTGTGGCCCATGGAATTGCCTGCCTGCATTGAGGTCATGCCTCAGAGGACAGCTGGCCTGTAGACATGACACCGTGAACAGAGACCTACATGGGGCAGAAGCGTGACCCCGTCACCATGCGGGTGGTGTGGTGATAGCATTCAGTGCTCAGGACCGGCCCACCTGAGGTCTGAGTCAGAGTCCCCACAGGGAGCGTATCTCCTGCCCCCAGCCCACAACATCCGGCTCTGTGTACCCACAGGGGCCAGCCCATAATCCGAAGCAGGGCTCCCGAGGCCCATGGTGCCCCAGTGAGGTTACCTGACTCTTATACCAACAAGTTCAAAAACTTGTCCAACACTGATTTGCAGGCGAAGCTAGTCACTGCTAGGGAAAGTGTGGACGGGCAAAGTCCCTCCTGGGCACTCCAAGCAATTCAGCTCCAGCTGCAAATGTGCCCAGCTGGCTCAGCAGGGAAGAAGCCCTATGTTCAAAGGGCCTGTCTAGCCACTGCCAGCAGGCAAGTGCCCTTGGACACGGTGCCCTTTGGGGTCTGGACCTGGATCCCACAGGGGGGTGCTAAGAGCTTGTCCCATCTTCACTCACTCCCTGTGCTGGGTACTGGACATCCCTCCCCTCCTGCGCCATTCCCCAGGAGGTTGCTGCCCTGGAGCATCGACCCCCAAGGCTGTCCTTGTGCTGCCCACCCCTCACCAGACTCTCCTCCTCAGAGACAGTCAGGTGACCTTTCAGGCACAGACAACAGTTCCTGCCAGGTCACTGAGGAGGGAGGAGGGTGAGCCAGGGCAAGGAGTCAGCCCGGGGGCTCCAGAAGAAAAGCGGGGCCTTCCACAGGAGAGGTCGCCCCTCCAGCTGTGCCTGGGGCACAGCGCCCTCTGTGCTATGTGCCAGCTCTCAACTTCTGAGGCCAAAGGAAGTTGGTTTTGGTCCCAAGGGTAGACACATCATTGACCTTGGAGCAAAGGCCCAACTGCACCTGATGAAGCCAGTTTATAGCAGAAGGACGAAGCCTCTTCTTTCCTGTCCCTCAGCCCCAGCCACTCCTCTGCCTCCCTCAGCCCCGCATGCCTCTGAGATTTACCTTCACAGCCACCAGCATCTTGTCCTTGGTGGGGCTGAGGTTGTAGCACTCGGCCAGGAAGACCTTTCCAAAGGCTCCCTCGCCCAGCTCCCGCTTCAACACGATGTCCCGCCTCTTAATGTGCTGCACATCTGCAGGAGGGGACAGAGAGAGCAGTCAAGTCAATCTTGCCCCAGTCAGAGGCCCCGGGCGGCAGGACAGCACAGGGGTCTAGAGCAGGGCGTTCTGCTTCTGAGTCCATGGCAGGAGAGGCAAACCCCAGCACCCTGACTTGGGCATAAAACCCAAAAACTGGCTCCCTGTTGTGGTCTGAAAGGCACCGAATCCCAGCTCTGCTCCCATCGGGTGCCTAACCTCTCCAGGCCGCAGCTGGGAAATGGTCAGGGTTCTGGGCGATCGGCTCTGGCTGCAGGGGAGAGGGCATGGCGGTCTGGACGCCAGCGTGGGCGGATTCCCGAAGTCTGCGGACAGATTCGGGTCCAGGGCCTGAGAGTCTGGGTTTCTCACGGACCCCCAGGAAAGGTCCAAATGCCCTTGGTCTATAGACTGCACCTGGAAGAGGGAGGTCTCTGGGGTAGTCGGGAATCGGGTCTGCATCCTGGCTCTGCCTCTTTCTAGTTTTAGGGGGCTTGAGTCAGTTATTCCACCCCAGAGCCTATGAAAGGGGGCTAACCCCAGTCCCTTAAGTGCTGAGTTCTTGTGGAGACTGAGACAACCCACGCGAAGAGCTTGGCCCGGTGCCCGGGAGAAACTAAAGATGGCCACATGCATGTGCACATGCACACACATACAAAAAACATACGCTGGTCCCCACTACGGCAGCTACAACAGCCCTAAGGCGAAGTCCACCCTGGGACGAAGGCGACTGAGCAGTAGCTCAGATGAGCGGGGGCAGCCTCCCCCTGACAGGCCCTTCTCCTCTGAGAGGAAGGCCAGTGGGACGGAGAAAGCCCAGCCCAGAAAGAGGCCACCACAGAACCAGGTTCTGTGCCCAGAGAAGGCCGCTGTGACCTAATTAAAGTCGGTCTGTGGGAAGAGAGGGTGCAGAGACGACCTCCAGCTACCACCCACTCGGAAAGGGTGCCAGGAGGGAGCTGTGTGAGAATGGGGCCCGCGGGGAAAGGAGCAAGCTGGAGATCACCCACTGGCCTCTCCACTAACCAGGAGCCCATTCCGTCTGCCCTGTTAACATGGGCAAGAGCGCTGCAGAGCCAGGGGAGAGCCCTGTCTCCAATGACCTTGCTGAAGATGGCAGCTGAGGACAGAGGGCCATGGTAGACGTGCCCCGTGAGCGTCAAAGCACATGTGGCCGGGGCAGAAGGTGTGGCTACAAGACTTTGGTTACTGATTTGGTTAGCTTGGGGATTCCTTTCACAATAGACTATAGAAAATTTTTATTTTCTACCAGAGGTCTTAGTGTCCCCACCATGTCCTGGGTGACCTGACAGTCAGGAGCTGTGAGATGAAGCATTTGGGGACAGGCCTGCAGGCTCTCAGCTCCTTGCAGGCCACAGGGAAAGAGGTCCTGGGGGAGCAGGCCTCGGGGGAGCAGGCCACGGAACTTCCGGGTGGCTGCCACCCGCTGCAGGGCCTCGGCCCAGCCTTGAGACCAAGGGAATTAAAAATCGGTTCTCTTCTTCCCGCCCTGTCATGCTGTTCTGGATATGGGCCAGACACGAGAGGCAAACCACTTCCCCGTGGACAACTACAAGTACCAACAGGATTCCAGACACCAGGCCACAAAGGGGGCGGCTGCTTCCCTGCACCTAAGCAGGAAGGAGGTTGGTAAAGGGAATGACTTTGTGCCCAAACCTGCTATTTGCTCAACATTCAATTCTCATGGCAGACACGGGTTCTTGTACCTCTCTTACACATGAAAAAATAGAGGCAGGGGTAACTTCCCCAAGTTCCCAGAGCTAAACATGGCTAAGGACGGACCCTCCTTTTTATGGCTTTGAGCTTGTGTCCTTCCCATTTCGCATGGCTGCCCATCCTGTGTCTCCCCTGCTGTGTGGCCATCAAGACAGTGTGCTCCACAGCAGCACCACCCTCCATGGCCCCACTTCCCCTCCCACCCATCGTCTCTCACCTGCTCGCCCTGGGGCCCTAGGACAGGTCTTCCCAAGGCAAAGGGCTGGGCCCTGCCTCCTGGAGGCCTCATGGAGGTGGGTGTGGGAGGGGGAAGGGTGTGGGAGGAGAGGCCCTGAGGAACGACTGGTGTGAGCCACTTCTATTTCTGACGTCCGAGAGTCTGTTCGCACCTCTTTCTGTGCGTATTTTCAGCTCACGCAGTGCTGGGCAGAGCCGTTTCTGGTGAAGCCCTCTGACCCCCATGCCAGAAAGTGACGGATCTCTCCAGGAGGGGTGGGCATCAGTCTCCTTTTGCTGCCTGGTGGGCCAACCCAGCACAGTCTAAGTCACCAAGCTCAGGTGCTGGGTCACTGGCGGGGGAGGAGGAAAGAAGGCTCCACAGCCCTGGGTGTGGGAAGACTCCCCAGTCTCCAGCAACAAGGGCTGCTGGAGGAAGGGGCCAGGAGACATTGGGGCGGCAACTCTGGGACATGAACAGGGTTTCTGGCCCATTCGGGCCTGGCTCTCCCTGACTCCTTTTCAGGAGAGCCACTGACTGAGTTCCCGGGTGGGGGGCCACTGGAGAGCTTCTCATGGCCGTTGGACCACTGGTTCATCAGACAAATACAGAAGGAGCTGCCCTACAAGTGTCCTTGGTACCGAGGGCCACGCTGACGACTCTGTATGTGTGGGGTTCACTTCTGGGGGGTCTTCTGCGCCTGCAGCAAGCGTGGCCTGGAGCAGCACCACTAACCTGATGCCACCAGCCACCTCCGACAGAAGACCTCAGAGCCCTGAGAGGTCAGCAGGCAAGCCGTGGTCATCCCCTGGCCCTGCCTCGGTTCCCCTGAGAGGCAGAGGTGGTTTCCTGCTGCACTGTCTGTGACCTGAACAGGCCAACCTGCTGGACAGACCGACATGGCCAAAGACACACATGACCACTGGCAGCCTCACTTCTCTGTTCTTGGGAAAAGGGGGTGTGATAGGAATGCATTCCTCAGTCCTGCTGACCAGGGGTGAAGAGGAAGCATGACACCCACACGGGACGGTGCCCTGCAGGAGTGAGGACCTGGGGACAGAGACAGGTCTGTGTGTGTCCTGGCCCTGCCCCTCCCGGCCATCAGACACCAGGTCCCCAGCTGTAGGATGGAAACGAGAGCATCTGCTTACAGAGCAGTTAAGAGGATGGAGTGAAAGTTTTTAGGTCATAGAGATCGTTGGAAATGTCTGAAACATAGTGGACATTTAACAAAAGTGGGCTTCCTTCCTTTCTGCAATGCTTTCACTTCTACGAAGAAATGAATATACCTGCAAACAAGACAGTGGCTTGGAAAGAAACTTGCCGAAGGACGGTGATGCTCCTTGGAAATGAAATGGCCTGATGCTGCGCGGAGGGCGGCCAGCACTGACTTGGGGGGGTCACGAGACGTCCCTGCCCAACACCACGACGTCCACCCCCTCCTCCCTCAGAGCACAGACCAGGCTGCGGGAGGATGGTGGTCAGACAGTGAAGTGTCACAGACAGAGATGACCAGCTCCCAAAGACGGCTATTGGTCGGCAGAGAAAACCCAGATTCCCCAGGGCCGGTGATGATGAATGACAGCGGATCTGACTCTGCATCAGTCAGCACAGGCAGCCCCCAAGAGCCGGCTCGCCCCTCGGTCCAACCGGAATGTCTTCACAGAAGCTCCCAGTGGCCTTGGAGCCCGACTGAGGAACCGATGATTATCCTGAGAGGACCTGCCTGTGGGGGACACCGCACTCGTCCGCCCTGAAGGCTGTCACCCAGGGACTCAGTCGCAGGCTGGTGCACTCCTAAGGGCCGGCCAGTTGCTCTCTTACTGACCCTGATGGGCTTTCCTAACCACCCTGCCTTTCCCTCCTTCCCGACCCACAGTAACACCCAGTCCCTAGAGGGCCCCAGCCTCACAGCTGAGACGTCTCAGATGCCACCAACCCTGTCTCACCCTGGGCTGATCTGTCTCACCTTATCATGATCCCCTGGGACCCTTATTAACAATCGAAATAACTGCCACGGAGGGAGCCCTTCCCCAGAGCCAGGCGCTATGCTGAGCTCTCACCACGGATCACCTTATTCATCTCAAGTTGCTTCAACACAATGTGTTACTATCCCAAGTGCTACAGACGAGGAAGCTGAAGATCAAGGTGGTAAAGTAATCTGCCCAAGGTCACCCAGATGTCTGAGATGGCCCGCCGGACTCTAAAGCCTAGCATCAGCAGATGGCATCACCCTGCCATGCGTCACTGCACCCTGCCCCTGCACCCCCCACCCCAGAGAGAAGCATCGCTCTCTGAACTGGCAGCAGTACCCGGTGCAAACGAAACACACCCGTGTATGAGGACAGCGACAGAGTCGTTTCCAGTGGGGCTTCCCGCCACCATTGGTCACCGCCACCTGAGTTCGGTGAAAGTAGAGAGGACAGATGCCTTCGGGAGAAGAGGTCAGTGCTCAGAAGACAGGGAGGGGTCTGGACAGCTTCAGGGCCCCCCCCCCCCGCCCACGTTGCAAGGTGAGTCCTGGGGACGACTGTGTGGACGGAGGAGGCAGGTTCTTGGCAGAGCAGACAGGAAGAGGGAAGAAGGAGGGAAAGGGAGGGCCTCAGAGAAGTGTGTGTTTTCTTTACACCAGCCAGGCCCTAGGGTCTCAGGCTGCCAAAAATGCTCAGAAGAAAACATTAATTCAATTCCACGCATTTAATTACACATGGAATGGAATGTCTTTTAGTGGAAAAGAATAACATTCTCAGAGCTCCGACTGTGAGTGTTTGAAGTGGCAGGAGGGAGACAGAGGGCCAGCTGGGAGCCTTGGAGGGGGCAGGCGCCCCCACGAGGGCGGGAGCCCGCCTCTGCTGGGGCAGGAATCTCCCCGGCCCTTGGCCGTCTCACCTCGTGGTTCCGCGGGGCAAGAGGAGCTCGCTTCCCCTTCGGTACTGCATGGGAGCGTCACCAGGTGTGTGTGCCCCTGGACAGCTACAGGCCCCCTGCGCTGGTCCGCAGCCACCCCAGCCACACCCCCGCATGGACAGAGCGCAGAGCTCG